AAGATGGATCGCTCATGCTGCCGTGCCTTCCCTACCACAGTAGAATCCAGCAAAGCTTCTCTCCCCTCAGCGTCTGTGAGGGGCTCTGTCTCGGGGATGGGAAGGCAGCTAACACAGCCCCCATTCGAAAGCACAGGCTGTGTGTTTTCTGTGTTCCTAGCTGGGAACAAATGAGAGTCTAACTCAGTTACCCCGGATGCCCCACACTGGAGAGGTCACATGTGGACAGTGGCACACACAGACCAAGACACCAAGTGCCCAAAGGCAAGAGGTGTCCCTTTAGAATTGACAGGGTTTCCAGGCAGGTGATTTATCTGTTGTCCCAGCTACTCAGAAAGCTAAAAGCAAGAGGATCCTTGATCCTGGCAGGTCCAGCCTGGTAAAAAAAACTGACAATCTGTGTAACAAAACAAAGAAATTTGTTAAGAAAAATAAGAACTGCCGGGCAGTGGTGGCGCACACCTTTAATTCCAGCACTCGGGAGGCAGAGGCAGGCGGACCTCTGTGAGTTTGAGGCCAGCCAGGGCTACGTGGATATGTAGTCTATCAAATAAACGAACAAACAGAAATGGAGGCACACACATGGGAAACTGAGGCAGGATGACCAAGATATCAACATCCTATTTTACTACTTACCAAGTTTAAGGCTAGCCTGGGCTAAGTGGTCTCCTATTTCCTAAATGCCCCTCCCCCTAAAAAGAGAAAAAGAAGACAAAGATGAAGGAGAAAAAATTCTCTGCCAAAACCAAGAATGGGAGGGGAGTGTCCTAGCCTGCTCAAGGAACGGCCCCTCGTCTCTGTCAGAGCAGAAAAGACTGTCCTACTGAAACAAGTCCTGGCACTTCCGTCAAGAGTGAGGAATAGTGGACTAGAAAAGGAAGAAACCGCCGTCGTAGGCAAATTGGCTGCCAACAAGGAAAAAAAATGTTTCTCCTATCAGAAGTGATAAGAAAGGCTGTGGGAGAGGTTGCTGGGCACAACCTTTGCCTCCAACAACAAAACACACCATTCAAGAGCAACAGCAAAGCAAAAGCCTTAGAAATTTTTCTAAATTTCCAGAATTCTAAGGGGGCTGGAGACGTCTCAGTGGTTAAGTTCATACAGATCCTACAGAGCATCTGGATCTGGGTGAATCACAACCACCTGTAACTCCACCCCAGGCGATCTGGTGCCCCCTTCAGGCCCCCGGGAGCAACTGCACCCACAGGCACATACCTGCACACGGACACATACATTTTACACATAGTAAAACAACACAATAAATCTTCATCGTAACAAAACTGAGATCCGTAAGTGGAGGACCCTGCTCTCCCTAAGAGCATTTGACAGTGCGGTAAGCAAGTTCCAGAATGTTGGTGTCGCCTACAAAGTGCTTTTTCTTGAAGTAACTTGAACTGTGTGAACCAAACCACTCAGCCATTGAGCTGGGTGTCAGTTCCCTTCTGCCTGGCTGCCTCTAACGGGAAACCACCAGTCAAGAAAACGCTAAGACAGCCCAGGTGTTCAAATCCTCCCCTTCCACTCTGAGGAACCCTTACCCCAGCTGTAAGGACCCCTGCAGCTGAGTTCAGACTCACTCTCCAGGTGTGGCTGCTCCACAGGCCCTGTGTTGGCCTTGGAAGACTGGAAGACACATCCTAAGATTAGCTTCTGTAAACAGGAGGCCCAGCTCTCCCGACAGCTATTTCCCAGCTATGTCATGCATGCAGACCTGAGGGAGCACTGTCAACCCTGAGGGTTCTGCAGAGCTAGTGACTGGTGCAACAGGAGGTCTGTGATTGGTCTTTGTGTAAAGCCTCTGATTGGTGGACGTGAAAGCTGTGCAAGTTCCAAGACAGGCTGCCTCGAAAAACAAAACAAAACAAAAAAAAAAAAGGAGGAGGAAGAGGAAGGAGAAGGAAAAGAAAAGGAAGAAGAAGAAAAGAAGAAGAAGAAGAAGAGGAGGAGGAGGAGGAGGAGGAGGAGGAGGAGGAGGAGGAGAAGGAGGAGGAGGAGAAGGAAGAAGAGGAGGAGGAAGAAGAGGAGGAGGAGGAAGGGCAGAAAAGATGGCTCAAGGTTAAGAACACTGGCTGCTCTTGCATAAGACAGGGGTTCTGTACCCAGCATCCTTCTGGGGCAGCTCACAACCTCCTGTAACTCTAGTTCCCAGGGCATTCAGCACCCTCTTCTGGTCTTTGTGGGCACTGACATGCATGCGATGCACATAACACACAGGCATATATGTAAATAAAAAATAAATATATCTTTTCATTTAATTTAATTTTTTTGAGGCAAGGTCTCTCCGTGTAGCCTGGAGTAAAGGCGGCACTAGCATCCCCAGCCAAATCTTCCTCTCAAAGGGATCGAACAGTGTATGTGACAGGACACTCATCTGTCAAGAAAGAAACGCCATCCGCACCACCAAACCGACAAAATCAGGGGCTCTAACAGGAGCTAAGGGCAGGGAGGATGCCAGTCCCTAAAGCAGCTGGATGGTGGCAAGAAGGCAGCAGCATGAATGAGACCCGCGCTCAGAAAAGCATGTGCCACCATGCTCACCTAGTTATTATACTTTTTGCCTGGCTCAGTTACATGCACAGCTGCAAGCTTAGCACCTAACGAACCAGTCATACATGTTCTGAAGTGACAAGTCCCCTTTGCCATAGATGTCCAACATTTTAAGCAGAGGCTGCTCCCTCACCCAGGTCCCAGAGACAGCTCACAGATGACACAGGCATTGTTTATGGTGTTGCCAAGACAGAACAGTCTGAGGAAAGAAAGGTTTGCTTGGGCTCATGGTCTCAGGGGGATTTTGGTCCGTCACAGTGGAGAAGGCATGGTACCAGGAGCATATGGTGGCATTCACAGCAGCAGGAGCAGACATAGAAAGACCCTTCATGCTGAGTGGATCAGGAAGCAGAGAAAGCGGGCTGGGACAAGGGTATGTAGAACTCTCGAGGGGCTGCTCTAAGTCTCCCGTCATCCAGGGTCACCTCCTAAAGGTTCCGCAGCCACCAGCTGGGAGCCAAGCGTTCAAAGCATGACCTCGTAGCAGACACAGAGCCACAGCTGGAATGGGCCTGCAATCACAGTAAGAGAAGAGTCTGGGGGACGAGGGAGATGCTTGGCCACCTAAGTGCTTGCTGTCCGAGCACAAGGACCTGAGTTCAGTTCTCAGAACACATGTGAAAAAGTCAAGTATGGTTACACTTGCTTGTAATTCCAGCCCTGGGAGAAGTAGAGCCTGGGAGAACCCTGGGGCTCCTGGGCCAGCAGGCCAAGTCCCAGCTCAGTAAGAGATCTGAGGAACAGAATCTTGAGGTTGACCTCTGGCTTACACCACTACACACATTCCAAAGGAAATCTACCTCCACCTTGCTGGACTCCATTGGGATCTGCGGGGGTCATTTGTTATTACTGCATAACCTGGCCCATCCTGACTGATCAAGGCACCTGCTCGAAGACCCAGAAATTTGACTTTCAGGCTGTCTCCCTCGTGACTCTCCTCCCCAGGCAACAGTAAAAGAGCATGGGTAGCCGCACAGCGGCGGGAGAACCTGAAAGTAGCTCTGGAGAAGACAGACTTGTCAGTGACGGTGGGCGGTCTCTGCAGAAGGGACACCCTGTGTGCCACACACAGCAGCAGGAACTATAAATACAATTCTGACGACCACAGCAGCTCACAGCCACCTCCACACGGCACGATAGGCACTACACCAGGAAGCTCAGGACACTCAGCACCGTTCCAGGGTCCCTAACCACAAGGTGAGGATTCTTGGAATCAAGAGAAAAATGAGAGCGAGCGAGCGAGCGAGAGAGAGAGAGAGAGAGAGAGAGAGAGAGAGGGAGGAGGCTCAAATTTTGCAAGATCCCCAATGTTTACATTTTTAGGTGGCTTTTAAAAATTGAAAGGCTAGTGTGGCTAACACAGATAAGAATAATGGGCTAATATAAGTTGTAAGAGTTAATAAGAAGCCTGAGCTAATGGACCAATCAGTTTATAGTTTTAAAAAAAAAACTGAAAGGCTAGCTGGGTACACTGATACAGTTTTAGTCCCAGCACTCGGGAGGCAGAGGCAGGTGGATTTCTATGAGCTCCAGGCTAGCCTGATCTACATAGTGAGTTCCAATCTAGCCAGGGCTACACAAGCCAGGGCTACACAGTGAGATCTGGTCTCAAAAACAAATAAAATTGAAAACCACTTTTAGCTCTTGAGCTGCACAGGAGCCGTAGAAAAGCAGCAGCAGCCGTGTTTGAGCATGGCAATGTGTGTGCAGGGGGCATTGGGAGGCCTCGCTCCAGTGAGGTCACAGCTGTGTCCCTCACAGTGCTTTGTGCCTTCCCTGAAAGGCCTGTGTGTTGATGAGCCTGACACAGAGGGACAGGCAGAAGTGTGTGGAGGGACAGACACAGGCAGACTTTGAACTCCTCCGAAGAGCCCCCTTAAACTCTGACAAGCCTTTTCCAGATGGGGACACGGGGCCTCCCCCTCACCAGACAGTGGAGGGAGGTGTCGTAGTAAGTGAGAAACCAGGGGAATTCGGTGGGGGAAAAATACTGCATCTTATAGCATGTGTCATATTTACACATGTCACACAGATCCGCACACACGCACACATACACACAAACTCACACATACACACCTACATTGATTTTACAATGATTTTAGCTGGACCATTGGTCCATGTGATCCAATTGAAAGTGTCTTTTTCTTTAGATAAATTATATATATCTATATATCCATATATATCTAGATATATGGATTTATTTATTTATCTTAGGGTTCTTTTGGGGAGCTAGTTTTTTGTTGTTTATCTTTCAAGATAAGGTTTCTCTATATAGCTCTGGCTGTCCTGTCCTGGAACTCACTATGTAAACCAAGGCCTTGAACTCACAGAGATCCACCTTCCTCTGCCTCCCTAGTGCTGGGATTAAAGGTGTGTACCACCAAGCCCAGCCATATATATATATATACATAGATATATATGTGTATATATATATATGTATAGTTAAGGAGACCTAGAAATTGGTCTTTCATTCCTTTTCTTTGCATAGTCCTATTAAAAATGTCAAGGGCAGGGCTGGAGATGGCCCAGTGGTTAAGACACTTTGCCATTGCAAAGAACCCAGATTTGGTTCCCAGCACCCAAGAGGTGGTTCACAACCATCCTTAGCTCCAATTCCCAAGGATTCAGCAACCTCTCTTCTGGCCTCTGCTGGCATCAGGAATCCACATGGTGTGTGTACTTGCATGCACACACACATAACACGCAGGCAAGACACTCATACACATAAAACTTAAAGATAAAAATGTTTTAAATGGTAAAAAAAACCCAATACATTATCATCAGAAGAGGTTTGGATGGTGTTCACGCCTGTGTATTGTCTGGGATGGTGTTTGAGAACAGGACAGTGGGGTCCTTGTGCTGCTCCTTGCCTCCTGGGATGTCACCTCATAGCTCGTAGCCTCCTCCTCCTCCTTCTTCTTCCTCTGGAAATCGGCAGCTACAAGCATCTTCCTCTTGAGCCGTGCGAACTGCCATCTTAAGTGCTAGGAAACAGCAGAAACAACGTAAGAGGCTTCCAGTCCGCTGTCTCAGACAACAGTTCTGCTCCATCCACAAACCTTCTCAACTTACCCACCAGCCAGCCAACAGCTTGTATGAGCTGTCTGGAGACTTATTATTTTATCTTACAGTATTTTGTTTTCTTATGTTGTGTTTTGTTTGCAGACAGGGTCTCTCAACTGGGATTCCCTATAGATCAAGCTGGCCTTGGATATGTGGTAATCTCCCTAGGTCAGTCTCCCAAGAACTGGTGTTACAGTATGTAATCCCCAGCATGTCGGGATTTCCTTCTTTCCTTCCTTCCTCTTTGGTTGGAGCCTCCAGCTCGCTCCTGCAGCTCCTTCCTGCGTGGTCTGAGAAGCCCCATTCCTGTCTCTCCAAGCCCTGCCCATTCTGGAATCTCTGAACAAAGAAAAGGCACCAAAAAGCCCAGGTCCACATTCTTGGCGGCTATGGTAGCTCCTCCCCTGAAGTTGCCAGCAGCCCCAGTCCCTGCCTAAAGTGATCAGCTTTTGACCATGCTTGGGCACAAACCCACCTTGTGGCAGACATGTCATAGCCCCTCACCTAAGAGCTATATAATCTCCCTCTTTTAGTCTGGCATGTGAGTTCTCTGACCTCCATCTCTGGGACTGGAGAACTCACCCGGCAGTTGCTTTGCTCAAATAAACCTGTTCTACTTTTTCAATTCGACTTGATCTGACTTACTGCATCAGTGGAGAAACCTATTATGGGGGCACAGAAAACCTATTCCTTCCTTCCTTCCTTCCTTCCTTCCTTCCTTCCTTCCTTCCTTCCTTCCTTCCTTCTTTCTTCCCACCTTTCCTTCATGTTAAAAACCATTTTCTCTATTTTATACACTGGCTTAACAACAACAAACCAAAGCTTGAGCCAAACTCACAGCAGCATAGAGCATGGCTTACACTGCAGGCACAACTGTGGATTCAATGCAGCAGACCCCTGCCCACCCTCCCACACTGTTTTTCCTTTTATTTTGTTACACAGTGTCCTGTAGCAGTCCTGGCTGTCCTGGAACTTGCTCTGTAGACTAGACTGGCCTCGAACTCAGAGATCCAACTGCCTCTGCCCCCCCACCCAGTGCTGAGATTAAAGGCATGCGCCACCTCCGCCTGCCTCTGCCTCCCCAGTGCTGGGGTTGAAGGCCTGAGCCACCACCTGCTATCAGCACCCCTATTTTATTCTCACACGTTATTTCAGACCGACGTTTCCTTTTGGTGTGATCCTGTGGCTGTGTCCCACCTCTATGTCTGTGAAAGCCCAGAATTGCTCTGTGTAGCAGCACAGCTGCTCTTACACACAGCTGGGACCCATCTGCCCTTACAGCTAGCAGCCTTCCATCTCTACTTCCTTTACACTTAACAAGCAAAAGCCCTGTTCCAAGGCATGTCTTCTATGTTCTAAATCTTATTTTTAAAGGGAGGCAAGGGAAGGGAAGGAAGTTAAGTCAAGACTGAGAAATATTGTATCCAAGGTTAACCAGAACAGTAGTGATTTGCTTCAGGTAGAAGAGACCATACTTCCCTGTATTTACTGCTCTGTACCGTCCAAAACTCCATACATACATACATACATATAACCTACGAAACAAGCCCAAGATGGCTGCGAGGAGAGGAGAGGGCAGGATGGCCAAGAATCTCAGGGCCTAAGACGCAGCGTGGCAGTAGGTGGTCTGGGCTTGCTTTCTGCCTCCTGTTCCCAGAGAGGAGCTGGACGAGTGGGGAGCCTGGGGATGCCAGCACAGAGATCGGAGAAACCCCGCCCACTCCAGCTACCAGACCAGGGACAGACCAGCCTAGCAAGATGGGGAGCTTCTGGACAATCAGGGATCGTTACAGCAAAGGCCAGGGCCAGTCCTAGGCCCCACAGGTAAGGGAGCCTGTCGCCTTGGTTAGACTGTGTTATACAGAAAACCAAAAGAAAAAAAAGAGTTAAAAAACAGATGTCTCAGTAGGTAAGAGCACTTGTTGCTCTTGCAAAGGACTCATGTTCAATTCTAAGCACCCACATGGCGATGCATAACTACCTATAAGTCCAGTTCTAGGGGATCCGGCCTCCGGGTGTTCCTGCATGCATGTGACACACATGCAACTCATGCAAGCAAACACGCGTGACATAAAATACATAGTAAATACATTTAAAAAAACAGCCAAGAGTCAAAAATCAGAAATAGATGAGTGATCGCCAGAGAAAGGGAAGAACTGAGGAGGGCAAGCAGGGCTGAATGAGGAGGGCGAGCAGGGCTGTGTGAGGAGGGCGAGCAGGGCTGTGTGAGGAGGGCGAGCAGGGCTGAGTGAGGAGGGCGAGCACTGAGTGAGGAGGGCGAGCAGGGCTGAGTGAGGAGGGCTAGCCGGGCTGGATCTTGGTTGTGAATAGTCTGTGGTGGTTTTGTTTGCTTGTTTGCTGTTGAGTTGTGTAACCTCTGGCCTTGACCTTGAGAGCCTCTCTTTGGGGCTCCAGGCAGGCTTCTCACACACGCTTTTCAAGTTCCGTATTTCAGTTGTGTGGCTCGGTAAATGAATCTACAAACCGGATAAAGTGACATGCAGCTGTGTGTGTTCTGTGCGTCGTCGTCCCGGCCTCACTGTGATGTTAGAGGCTTGTGAACGGCACGTGGAACTGTCCTGCTCCTTGTTCGTGTAATTATAGGAAAAGGAAAATGTCCTTTTTTAATGACTACAAGACCCTCATTACTGATCAATACCTTTGAAAACATCTTCACAGAAACCTTGTTGCCTCTCTAGGAGGAAATACGGTTCTGGTTCTGGCGGCTTAGAGGTCTCCTCCAGAGCCAGAAGCCTGGAATGGAGAGGGAAAGACTACAGAAAGCAAACATGCCTGCAGCTGGGACAGGGTGCCCTTCATTGATAAAGAGCAGGTGGCTCCATGGGAAGACTTCTCAGAGTAAGAAATCCAAACAGCCAATCAAAGCGAAACCTAACCTCAGCCGTCGTCAAGGAAATGCAAATCAAAACCGCAGTGAGCCAGTCTTCCCCACCCACCAGACATAAAAATAGCGGTGCTGCACCCCGCATTCACACGGAAGTGGGGCGAATGGAGCGCTCTCGCCCTCACCCTGTTGAAGAGGCGTTCAATGTGCCCCCCATCACTTTTGGAAAACAGTTTGACCTACCTACTTGGACAGGACTTAAGTTACTCATTCCCACGTCTTTTCCCCCTAGGTTGAAAAACAAAAACCAAGCTTGGGAAATGGTTTGGTAGCCAGTGCTCACCCTGGGGTAACTAGTGCTCACCCTGAGGTAGCCAGTGCTCATCCTGAGGTAGCGAGTGCTCACCCTGAGGTAGTGAATGCTCACCCTGAGGTAGCGAGTGCTCACCCTGAGGTAGCAAATGCTCACCCTGAGGTGGTGAGTGCTCACCCTGAGGTGGTGAGTGCTCACCCTGAGGTGGTGAGTGCTCACCCTGAGGTAGCTAATGCTCACCCTGAGGTAGTGAGTGCTCACCCTGAGGTAGTGAGTGCTCACCCTGAGGTAGCAAATGCTCACCCTGAGGTAACTAATGCTCGCCATGAGAGCAAGAAGAGCAGGATTCAGATTCCCAGTACCACATAAAGGCCAGGCAGGGCAATAATCGTTGTGACCCCAGAAGGCAGAGACAGGGTCCCGGGGCAAGCTGGCTGGACACATCCATGATGGGCTCTGGGTTCAACTGAGAGGAGCAAGTGGAGGGCAAGCCAGGAAGATGCCTGCCCCCAGCCTTGATGTCTACACATACACATGTGCACATGTGAGTGCATACACATGCGCACTATACATACAGACACCCACAGAACAGAACCATGCATTGCTCATTGCTATTTTATAAGAAATGGAGAAGTCTGGATTTTGATCACAGGGGACTGGAACTCAACCTGTGGGTAAATCCCCTTCCTTCCTTCCTTCCTTCCTTCCTTCCTTCCTTCCTTCCTTCCTTCCTCCCTCCCTCCCTCCCTCCCTCCCTTCCTTTCTTCTTTCCTTCCTTCCCTTCTTCTCCTCCTCCTTTTTCTTTCTTTCTTAAGACAAGTTCTTACTATGTAGCCCTGACCAGCCTAGAGTGCACTCTGTAGACCAGGCTGGCCTCAGATTTACAGAGATCTGTCTGCCTCTGCCTCCTGAGTGCTGAGATTAAAGGCATGCACCACCACTGCCCAGCCCTTTGAAACTCTTTATTTCTGAAATAATCCACCTTACACCCATTCAGCATCATCCAATTCTCCCAATTCTCCACACTTCCTCCAGTATGGACCAGAGCCAAGACCAAGGCTATTACCAACTCGAGAAGCGACACTGGGTGGGCTGATGTGCTTTAAGGCGCTGTGTATACAAGTCAGAGGTCCACCTTTGCTTGCTTGCTTGCTTTTGTGTGAGACAGGGTCTCTCACCGGCCTAGAGTTTTCCAATAGATGAGCATGGCTTGTTAGCAAGGGATCTGCCTGTCGCCTCTGCCTGTCTCTTCCTGTCTCTGCCTGTCGTCTCTGCCTGTCACTGCCTGTCTCTGCCCGTCACTGCCTGTCTCTGCCTGTCACCGCCTGTCTCTTCCTGTCTGCCTGTCACTGCCTGTCTCTTCCTGTGACTGCCTGTCTCTGCCTGTCACCGCCGGTCTCTGCCTGTCTCTGCCCATTACTGCCCGTCACTACCTGTCTCTGCCTGTCACTGCCTGTCTCTTCCTGTCTCTGCCTGTCTCTTCCTGTCTCTGCCTGTCACTGCCTGTCTCTTTCTGTCACCGCCTGTCTCTGCCTGTCACTGCCTGTCTCTGCCTGTCTCTTCCTGTCTCTGCCTGTCTCTTCCTGTCTCTGCCTGTCACTGCCTGTCTCTTTCTGTCACCGCCTGTCTCTGCCTGTCACTGCCCATTACTGCCCGTCACTACCTGTCTGCCTGTCACTGCCTGTCACCACCTGTCCCTCATTGGGATTTTACAAGCACATACCACTGTTTTTTTTAACATGGATCTGGGTATTAACGTTTCTTTGCACTTGCAAAGCAAACATTTTACCAACCAAGCTGTCTCCCCAACTTCTGAGGCAATGTTCTTTTCTGGTTCCTCTGTGTCATGGGCGTGGGCTGACTGGGTGCCCACACTTATGTGTGCACAGTTACCCGGGATTGTGCCCTATGTGTCCGTTGTCTTCCCTACACTCTGGGTCCCGTTCCATCTCCATCTCTTCCCAAATGAAATGCAGAGCCCAATTCTTGTGGCTAGGGGGCCTCCCTGTGCATTGTGGGGATGGGGAGGCTACTCCAAGTCACAGCTAAACATACCTCCCAGCACCAAGTCACCACTACCCCCACTGCCTCCAGACATTGTCAGTCCCCTTGTGGAAACAAGCTTGTCCTGGCTTTACAACCATTATGTTAGCCAATCACAGGCTTCTAACTTAAAAAAAAAAATCCAAGCCTGCAAGATGGCTAGATGAGCAAAGGCACTCGCCATCGAATCTAAGGACCTGAGTTCACTCTCTGAAATGGGAGAGAACCCTGTCTGCAGAGTTGTCCTGCCTCCCCGCCCGCCTCCCATGATGCATTGGCCTTACGTTGCTTGAACAAGTAGGGGAATTTCTTGCTGCTCCATTTGGCCACAATGGGCCCCAGAGTGATGCAGAGTAGAAACAGCAGCAGGGCCGATGTCAGCGCCAGCAGCCAGGTTAGGATTCGCAAGGATCTCCCTCCTTCTGCAGCAAGGAGAGAAATGCCGGAGTGTTCGGTGAGGGCAAACACATGGGCTCCAGTGAGGCAGCACCCTGGGCACCCCAAACCTGTAACTCAACGAGCTTAGATGACTTTACTGTCTTTCTTTCGTTCCTTCTGTTTTGTTCCTGAGACAAAGTCTCATGGATCCCAGGCTAGCCTCAAACTCCATTTGCACCTGAGCATAACCTGGAACTCCTGATCCTCCTGCCTCCACCACAGGGTGGGGATTGCAGCACCATGCCCAAATCCATGCCATCCTGGGTCTGGAATCCAGGGCCTTTTTAGCATGTAAAACAAGGGCTCTACCAACTGAGTGACACCCCAAGTCCTAAATCTAAGTGACATTTTAAAATGAGCCCGAATTTAATGATTTTCCCAGCAACTAAGCAGCCTGGACTACTGAGCGTAACGTATGAGGCCCTTTATTTCCCCGGACTTGGCCTTTGTAAAGCTACGTTATCTGTTTGGGATGAGGAGTCACCATTACTGATGCCAACATCCAGGTAAACAAGACAAGGCATGAAGAGGAGAGCACCCCAGAGCTGCCTGCTGTGGGCAGAGCTGCGAGAGTCAGCGGCGCTGAGGGCATTCACATACAGTCTGAACAGACATCAGGCGTTTGTTTGGATAAACCTTTTCAGAGAGTCTTGCTGTGTAGCCCAGGCTAGCCTGGACCTTGCGGGGCCTCCCACCTCAGCCTCTGTAGTGGTGTGATTATGATTCCAGTTGTGCGCCACCCCCGACCATTAACTTGTATTTAATAGCAATAAAACAACCACCTGATTTTCTCACCGGGGCAGTCACGGTGGGGGAGGTACCTGGAGAGAAGCTGACCAACGTGGGGCCACAGATCACATCTTTCTCTGTGGTTCCGTTCTCAAGCACGGACTTTCCACCTAGCGAGCAGCTAAGACGGGTCAAGAAGAAGAGTTCAGATGATTAATTTGGGTCCAGAGGAGCACAGTTATCCCAGGAAGTAGCCACGTGATACAGTAGGGCTTGGGCTCTCAAGCAATGGGCAGATGATGTGAGAAACTCCCACGAGACTCTCACATAAGACCCTGTGGCCTCACAGAGTCCCCTGTGCCCTAGAGGTGAGGCACTGCAGGTCTGCACGCCAGCGGCAATGTCCTTTGTTTTTCAGTTTATCTCAGGTTCTTTACATTGGGAGAGACATGAGAATATATACGTACTTGGTCCATGGTTGACAGGTGCCACCCCCATTCTGATCGTTAAATGTCCCGAAGCCACAGTTTTTACAACCTTGAAGGAAAGCTGAGAATCAGTAGGAGGCATCTTACCATTTTACGATGTTCCCCTGATGAGCAGATGCCATGGTGGCATAGGCTAACCTGTGCAAATTGCATCACGATTATTTTAACACTTTAATCTGTTATCCACATGTATGTGTGCACGCATCTGTGTGTGCACGTGTGCATGTGAGTGCAGATGCCCATCAAGTCCAGAAGAGGGCGTCAGACCCCCCCCAGAACTGGAGTTACAGGCCATTGTGGGCAGCCTGAAGTGGGTACTGGAAACTGAACTCGAGTCCTCAGCAAGAGCTGTATTTCCCCTTAACTAAGCCGTCTCTCCAGCCCCTGCTTAGTGACTCTTGAATTGAAACCCCAAGACTGCTCAGTTTCAGTCTAATGATATGAGCAATATTGTCTGTAACCAAAATGTGCAAGAATACACGGCTCGGGTGATTAAGAAAATCATTTACATTTGTGAAAACACAGACTACACAGTGGAATGAAATTACAACACCGTCAGTACCACATACTGCATCTCTGTCCTTCACAAACTTGGGCGGAGAAAGGGCAAACCTACCCTGCTCTGTCAGCTCTTGGCCTGGCTTGCAGTCTTTTTCACACATGGCACACTCTGGCCCCAAGCAGTGGAATCCCTCGATGCATTCACACTCCGCATTGCTGGTGAGGGAGCAAGGCTTCTTGAGCCTGAAATAACCTACAAAGCCCCGGCTCTGCGTTACCCTTGGAAACAAATTTGTATTGCGGTTGATATATATATGTATGTGTTTTATATATATATGTGTGTATGTGATATATATATGTATGTGTGTTCATGTATATATGTGCATATGCATACATATGTGTGCATGTGTATATGTGTGTATATGTGTGTGTATATATATATATCCATTGCTCTGCTTATAATGTTAATGATTATGTTGTGTTCCCCCATTTACTGTCTTTGTGGAATAGGGTCTCATTGTGGATCCCAGCCTACCCTTCAAATAAGAATCTTCCTGCCTCGGTCTCCAGTGCTGGGATTGTGTGCCCCAGTGCCTGGCTCATACTGTTTTATTTTCAATCCCCATTAAGATATTTTCCACTTTGCTCACTAAAAGATTTTCTTGGGCTGGGGAGGGAGCTCAGTGCTTGCCTAGCACGCCGAAGTCCTGGGTCCCATCCCCGGCTCCTTGTATACTGTGTGGTGGCACACGCCTGTAATCTCAGCATTTGGGCGGGAAGAAGAGACGTTCAAAGCCAGCCTAAGCTACGTGAGACCCTACTTTAGAGAAAAAAAAAATCCAGGCGTGGTAGTGCACACCTTTAATCTCAGTACTCCAGAGGTAGAGGCCAGAAGGTCTGAGTTCCAGGCCAGCTTGGCCTATATAGTGAGTTCCAGGTCATCCAGGGCTACATGATGAGACCCAGTCTCAAAACAAAACAAAAACAATAAAAGCCTTTCGTGTCAAGTGAGTATTTCCTCTATTATTTAAAAAATCAGCCAAAAAAAAAATGATGACTTGCTGGTGGCCACATCAGAAGAGCAGCAGGTGGCGACTGACGTCAGGGGATTGGCCCACCAGCATGTAAGGTGCGGTTGGGTGGATCTTGGACCACCAAGGCCCTGAGAGTGTCGGCCCCAGGATGGCTGTTGTTACTGTTCTGTCTTTCCATGTCTGCTGCTGCCATGTTCCGCTGATATCTAGCGTGGTGTGAATGGGCAGAGATTCCCCGCCGCCTGTAATGTCGTGTGATTATCTCATGGAGATATTCCATTCTCCTGGGGATTTTTACTGTGGATTATTATGAAGATGACTTCCTCCTAAACTGTGCTACTTAAAAGCAATGACTTTTACACAATAGTAGTGTTCGTTTAAATAGGATGTTGATGCCTGGGCGGTCTTTAGTATATATAGTAAGGGATTGTGATTTTCCTTAGCGGGAAAGCTAAAATAGGCAAATGCAAGACACGGTGTTACCTCTGCCCCCGAGAAAGCAGAGGCTGCAGAAGACAGAAATAAGAACAGGGAAGTACCGCACAGCTAGTTTCTTCTGACGCATCATATGGACTTGGCTTATGTCAACGATTAAGAAGAACAGTTGTGTCCCAGGAGCTAAGTCAGCTCATGTTCTTCTCGTCCTAATGTTGAGAGATGTGGTCACGGTTGCAGTGTGCACCGTAGCTAGAACACAGCTTTAAGTAATGACTTAAGGGTAGGTTAAGATGGTTTTGTTAATAGCTTTAAGGCAAATAAAAAATCTTGGAAAACAATTTTAAAAAGCTTGCCCTTAATAGCCGAGTGAGGGGCACACTGAGGGCGGAGACCAAGAACAATGGTAGCCTGGCTGCCGCTGGCTGACCTGCTAGATGGGTCGGTGGTCAAGGCTGATGGGGAACCCCTTGTGCCCATTTCTGCCCTCTGCTTCCGGGTATAAACACCTGTTGATGAGTGGGTGTGCACCCCGAGGGTTTAAAAGAGAGCTGGCTGATTCTTTTCCATACATAAAAACTTAGATTTGTGATTCTCCTAAGATTTCTTATGAGATTACCTTTGAGGTAAATAATAAAATGACTGCTCCTTTCTCTGTAACCGAAAAATGCAGGCTGGCAGCGAGAGAGCTGACTGAGAAAGACGCCTTGCTCGCTTACACTCTGCTAATAACAAGTTGCTTGGACATAAATGTTTGTGGGTTCTGGGGTCAACTTGCTTTTCACCTGTAATGTGTAAAATATTTAATTGTGTAAGAGATGTAGAAAACATGCTGGTTTTCACTTGTATTCACTGTAATCATTTTCTTTAAAATAGTGTGTAACCTCATTATAATGTTTATACTGCTTGAAAGATTTTGCTGAGGTATATAAGCTGTAGGGAAAAAAATAAAATTAGTTAGAAGAAAGATATCACGAGAGACAGAGGAATACATGTAGAGAGAGCTAAGAAAAGAAAGAACAGAGAGAGAAGATGATGGGGAGACCTTACAGGGGTGTGTGTGTGGGTGGGTGAGTGTGTGGGTTGTGTAGGGGGGTCCCTTTTGCGCCAGCCCCAGAGAGTTAAGTTTAACCCCCCTCACAGGCCCCAACGAGTTAAGTTTACTCCCTCAGATAGATTAGTCAGCTGACTTTGTGGGATCCCCCTCAGTCCCCGAGCTGCTGGAGGCTGGTCCTCGAGGTAGCGACGGTAGCTATTCCATGAAATCCTTAGGCTACACCTGCTGTGGACAGGGGAGTCAGCCCCTGTGAAGCTCAAGATTTTGAGTAGAGACCAGTTAGTAAAGGGAGACCAAAGCTGGTCTCGCCCCAGATTTCCTAAAGATGGAGACGCCTCAGTGTAAAGCCGACCTCCAGTCCTGGGAGGCTGAAGATCACAAGGTCCAGTCCAGCATAGGCAGCAGAAAGATTCTGTTTCGACACAGACAGACAGACTCACCTTCACACACCCTGCAGAAGTTGCAGGACGGCTGTCCACCCGTGCTGGAGTATGTGCTTGGGGGACAGCTGGTGCACACAGGATTGTCTTTCTCGCAGAAGGTACCTGGAAGGCAGCACAGGTGTCTGTGTCTGACAACACTCGACCGTCACCCGAGGCATCATGAGGACATCAGAGCAAATGCTCCATTTATCCTCTAGGCATCTTGGCAATGGCACATTTACTGATTGGCGTTTTAAGACTATACATTTGCAGGGTGACCCCTGGCATAGCTGTGCAACTAGGAGTAACAGTGTATAAATGCTGCAACAAAGAAATCAAGAGACTAAGAAAACCCTGAGTCTGTTGATCTCCTCTGAGATCAGTGTAACCAGAGGGGCCCAGACGATGCTGCCACCTGCTTGCTCCTTGCTGCAGAGTGCATGTACTGTGTGCTGTTCTGAGCCTGTCCTGGGACCCTCCAAGCACCCCTGAGACAGCCTCTCTGACTGTACTCAAGTGGCAAGGTTGAGGAGCGGAAACTGAGTGAGCCAGATCCCCAGGGCCTCTTTGTTGTACCCAAAAAGCCTTTGCAAGGGAGTGAGCGGTCTTCTGAACGGGCTAACCGAACTGAGTTTTCAACGGTCAGAAAACGCACCTGTCGGTCTGGTACTTACCCGCCTCACACTTGGCACAGGAATCCTGCAGGGCTCTTGTCCTTTCAGTGCCCACCACCAACAGCACAGTCACCACCATGCTGTAACAGCTGTTCCCCATGACGACCTCTTGCACACATATGACACTAGCAAAGGAGATTCCAAAAGAGTTTCAGTCAAACGAGCTGCTCTCTGGCTGGTGGTGTGGCTCACTTGGTAGAGTGCCTACTCAAGAGGCATCAGTACTTCAGAAACCATGGTGGGGGGCTGGAGAGATGGCTCAGTGGTTAAGAGCATTGCCTGCTCTTCCTAAGGTCCTGAGTTCAATTCCCAGCAACCACATGATGGCTCACAACCATCTGCAATGGGGTCTGGTGCCCTCTTCTGGCCTACAGGCATACACACAGATAGAATACTGTATACATAATAAATAAATATGTAAAAAAAAAAAAAAAAAGAAAGAAAGAAAGAAACCATGGTGGGGGGGGTCCATGCCCGCAAACCCAGCACTCAAGACGCAGAGGCAGGAGGGTCGAGAGTTCAAGACCAGTCTGGACTACCTGAGCCTGTCTTTAAGAGAGGGATTCATTCACAAATGTCATTCCACAAAATATAAGCAGGGTGGGTGGTCCTTCCATAACTCTCTGCATTGCCAGCAATACTTAGACAGTTCTGCAGGGTTTTAAGGAGAATTTTAAGGAATATTGGGGCTGGAGGGATCGTTCAATGCTTAAGAACACATCCTGCACTTATAGAGGACCCAGGTTTGGTTCCTAACACCCATGTTGGGTGGCTCTCAACTGTCTATAACTCCAGCTCCAGGGGATCCTATGCCTGTTGCCATCCGCATCCAAGTGTACATACCACATACAAACATACACACACAATCGAAAATTTAAGAAAAATTAATTTTTTTAAAAAGCCCGGAATGTTATGGAAACACAGTAAATCTACAGAGAGTTGTACAATGGCCACTGACTTGGTGCACGCCCACCAAAGCTCAGGCTGAAATGAGAGCAGGAACATTAGGGACTTTCAGGTTCCTGGCATTGGCACCCCTGCTGTCTCTGAGGCAAAGTCATGAGGGTGATGCCATCCAGTGCCCCCTCAGGGAGAGGGAGCCCCGCTGTTATTGCTCTGCCCTCGGTGGCTTGGCATTTAATTGCCCTGACTGTGAAAGACCTCTGCTGAAAGTCACCGTCTGAGAGCTTCTCAAGCACAGACCTGCACTTGCCAATTTTGAAATTTGAAGTTTGTAGAAAAAAAAAAGATTAAAATGGCAATTAAAAAATCCTGGGGCTAGGGATGAAGCTCAGCTGGAGAGTGCGTCTGGCATGCGTGAAGCCCTGGGCTCCATCCCCAGCACTCCATCAGACAGCACAGTGGTTCATATCTAATCCCAGCACCCAGACGGTGGAAGCAAGAGAATCAGAAATTCAGGGTCAGAGTCTGAGACTAGACTGAGCTAAATGAGATCCTGTCTTAAAAGAAGAAGAAGGAGGAGGAGGAGGAGGAGGAGGAGGAGGAGGAGGAGGAGGAGGAGGAGGAGGAGGAGAAGAAGAAGAAGAAGAAGAAGAAGAAGAAGAAGAAGAAGAAGAAGAAGAAGAAGAAGAAGAAGAAG